TTTCACATTTGAATGCATTGAGAATGAGGCCCAAGGCTGCTCCTGGATTTTCCTTATATCCTCCAAAATGGTATCCTGGGTGCCGGCGAGAGTGCCATCATCCAGGTACCAGATGTTTAGCTCACTTGTCACACTATCAGTGACCTCTTTGATAGCTAAGCAGAAAAGGAGGGGGGCTAAGGGATCACCTTGTTGGACACCTTCACAGGAGTCTATTTCATGCTACCCCCCCCCCCCCCCAAAAAAAAAAAAAAAAAGCTTAGAGTCCCCACTGTAGCACGATCGGATGAATGGGGTAAAGGAGACGGAAATGATTGTGTACAGCCCTGAGGACAGCGTCTCTTCTGACTTGAATGAAGGCATTTTTAAAGTCAAGCTTTACTAGTGCCTTCTGGTCTGAGGGATCAGCAATGTAAGCCCGCGCTGCATGTGCTGCAGCCTCACAACCTAGGGGGATCCCAAACCCGAGCTGATTAGGTTTCAGCAAGGTGGCTGCTTCCTTCCTCACTGCAGCATTAGATATGAGGCGTTGGAGGGTGTTGCCAACGGCAATGGGCCTGATTCCCCTTCTTCTTTAGAAGAATCCTTCTTTAGAGCACAGAGTGCTGCTCCATAAAATACAGGCCTGATGTCCTCAGGGATGCCGCCAGCCAAACACATGTTGGAGAATCTGGTAAGTTCCACTAGAAGGTCCTTGGCAGCATCTCAAAGCACGGGGTTCAGCATCTGTTTGATATGCTGGGGTCTAAGGCCTGTGAATCCCACTGCTGAACCTGTTGGAAAAGACATGGCTGCTTTGTACACCTCAGATTCTCGAACAGTCAAGGGTTCTATGCCAGTATTGTTTCCCTGGGGATCCCTGCTGCTGTCGGGGGCTCTGGGTGGGTGTTTGTCTTGAAGAGCCTCTGCTGTCGTGGCGTTCCTGGGGGCAATAGTGTCATCGCTGGTCATGATTCTGATGGCACCTGTGGTATTGCCCTCTTCTATCTTCCTGGTGATCTGTGCTCTCATTTTGTGGTTCTCAGATGAGTTATTGTTGGTCGTCCTGCGGCTGGTGTTCTTGGCACGAGGGTGGAGGCGGACCAGGTTGTCTGCTCTGGGGAATTCATTAAGAGCCCTAATTACTGAGGTTGCTAATGACTTGTCTCTCCTGGGCGGTAATGCTAGGCATGAATTCCCCAAAAGTAGGAGATTGTGCCATGCTCCAGTGCTTCTAGAAGCATTGTTGACCTTTGTCAGCAGACTGGTGAGTTTGGCTGCTGCTTGGTGACGGGCAGCCTTGGGGATGTGGGGCAAGGTCCTGATGGACGTCGCTCTGACTGCTTCAAGCAGATTATCTGCTGAAATAAAGTTGAGAGAGGTATTGTTCCTCGCTCCTGTAACAGGTTGTCCATTGTCAATGTCCCGGGGCGCGCACCTAGACCCTAGACAACGGTCTGAAATGACAGAATGTTGGCGGACAGTTCCATCAGAAACAAGATGAAACTGTCTGTCACACGCTCGACTGTTTCCACTTAGAATTGAAAAAGAACATTTCCACTTCCACTCATTATACTATATTATATATATTATATATATATATATATATATATATATATATATATATATATATATATATATATATATATATATGACTGAAAATTATACACCCCAGAAGTGACTCGAACCCATACTGTTAGGAGCACTATGCAACTGGTGTACAGAAGACCTTAACCACTACCATCACGACCGGACAAAAGATGATGGTAGCTGAGGCTATTTCCCCATCATCCCGCCGGCACTCTGATGGTAATCTTAGGTATGGTATTTTATCAAATCACCTCATTTTGTGGGCGGCCATGTGAGCAGCATTTGTTTGCATTTGTGTTGCTGCCCAAAAAAATGTGAGGTGATTTTATAAAATACCATGCTCAAGATTACCATCAGAGCGCCGGCGGGATGATGGGGAAATAGTCTCGGCTACCATCATCTTTTGTCCAGTCATGATGGTCAAGCAGTTAAGTTCTCCTGTACGAGACCACGAAGGAGGGATTAAGACAGGAATTTCCTTAAGTACTTTATAATAGATATTTTTTTTGTTTGAGATATATAGAAGAGTTGTTACATTCTTGTAGAGCCACTAGTACGCGTAGCGTTTCGGGCAGGTCCCTGGAATACGATCCCCGCCGCGAAGAATCGTTGTTACAACCAAGTACACATTTTACTGTTGAGTTAAACAGAGGCTACAGTTAAGGATTTGCGCTTAGTAAATCCTCCCCGGCCAGGATACGAACCCATGACAAAGTGCTCGCGGAACGCCAGGCGAGTGTCTTACCACTGCACCACGGGGACTGTATCTTCATTACATCTTCAGAAAGATAGATTTACAGTTCAGTGAGTGTGGATATATAGCCAGGAAAGAGGTGAGGTGAGATACCATGTCTTTAAAGAGATAATGGGATATTAATAAGGTATTAGTGAGATAAATGTGTATCAATGATCCTACTTAAATCGCCATGATCAATGAAAAATAGATCTAAATTATACAAACCACTACTAATGTTCAAATTAAATGATTTTGTAATCTGTATGAAAGCAGATTCAATAATGTTCCTATTGAAAATGAGTTTACAATTCGTTATTGACGAAGCCATCTCCCAATCAATTTAGCGAGGACTTTCTGACAAATGAACTTTTATAAATAGTTCGACACTGTCCTCACAATGTCGAACTACTAACTTTCCCCAGGATACAACCCCCACAACAGTTGCCTAGATCCAAAGTATCTATTTACTGCTAGATGAACAGACATTAGGTGACAGGAAGCATACTCAATAAACAAGCAACTCAAATCTCCCATGTTTTATGTTGATGCCGGAGTATGTCTCAAAGTTTCCCCTTCTATCATAAAGTTCTTCCCTCTTGCTGGCGCTCAAATGGTTGTACAAGATGTGCTTAAGTTACACCGGTCGTCAATTGACTATTACAAGCAGTCCATTACCATGTGGTTTTACTAACAAAATGTTTTTCCCATGTCTTTTGATTTTTTAGTTTTATGCTGGTGGATAATATTCTTGATTTAAGGAACTGTTTGGAGCAGGGCGGTGGAATTAAACCCTCGTTTAGGCTCATCCCAGAGAGCGGGTTCAATCCCATTGCCCTGTTCCAAAGACTTTCCAATATATATCACACTATTGTGATTCCATTTTGTATTTTCTTAATATATCTTTATTGTGTTTGTGAGTAATTAATACTGCTAGTGACTCCTAAATTTAGGTTTGGATATCTTATTTCTGTACAGTGTTCATAATATAGCGTCATTTGCATTTAATTTTCATATATTAGTATGTCCGGTTACTGTTCCTGCTAACCGACTGGACTGGACTGGACTTACTGTTCCTGGACTGGACGGTAGAACCACGCCCTTGCTATTGTGGAGTCTACTTTCCATTCCCGATGGTCAAAGTGGTTGGGCACGGTTCTCTCTCTCCTTCCTTATATCCCAGCTGCTTAATTGTCCTCAAATCCCAGCTCCCTGTCATATCCCAGCTTCTAGGCCTCACATCCCAGCTCCCTGTCCTCATATCCCAGCTCCCTGTTCTCATATCCCAGCTCCCTGTTCTCATATCCCAGCTCCCTGTTCTCATATCCCAGCTCCCTGTTCTCATATCCCAGCTTCTAGGCCTCACATCCCAGTTCCCTGTCCTCATATCCCCGTTCCCTGTCCTCATATCCCCGTTCCCTGTCCTCATATCCCCGTTCCCTGTCCTCATATCCCCGTTCCCTGTCCTCATATCCCCGTTCCCTGTCCTCATATCCCCGTTCCCTGTCCTCATATCCCCGTTCCCTGTCCTCATATCCCCGTTCCCTGTCCTCATATCCCCGTTCCCTGTCCTCATATCCCCGTTCCCTGTCCTCATATCCCAGCTCCCTGTCCTCATATCCCAGCTCCCTGTCCTCATATCCCAGCTCCCTGTCCTCATATCCCAGCTCCCTGTCCTCATATCCCAGCTCCCTGTCCTCATATCCCAGCTCCCTGTCCTCATATCCCAGCTCCCTGTCCTCATATCCCAGCTCCCTGTCCTCATATCCCAGCTCCCTGTTATCATATCCCAGCTTCTAGGCCTCACATCCCAGTTCCCTGTCCTCATATCCCCGTTCCCTGTCCTCATATCCCCGTTCCCTGTCCTCATATCCCCGTTCCCTGTCCTCATATCCCCGTTCCCTGTCCTCATATCCCAGCTCCCTGTCCTCATATCCCAGCTCCCTGTCCTCATATCCCAGCTCCCTGTCCTCATATCCCAGCTCCCTGTCCTCAGATCCCAGCTCCCTGTCCTCATATCCCAGCTCCCTGTCCTCATATCCCAGCTCCCTGTCCTCATATCCCAGCTCCCTGTCCTCATATCCCAGCTCCCTGTCCTCATATCCCAGCTCCCTGTCCTCATATCCCAGCTCCCTGTCCTCATATCCCAGCTCCCTGTCCTCATATCCCAGCTCCCTGTCCTCATATCCCAGCTCCCTGTCCTCACATCCCAGCTCCCAGGCCTCACATCCCAGCTCCCAGGCCTCACATCCCAGCTCCCAGGCCTCACATCCCAGCTCCCAGGCCTCACATCCCAGCTCCCAGGCCTCACATCCCAGCTCCCTGGCCTCACATCCCAGCTCCCTGACCTCACATCCCAGCACCCAGTCCTCACATCCCAGCTCCCAGGCCTCACATCCCAGCTCCCTGTCCTCCCATCCCAGCACCCAGTCCTCACATCCCAGCTCCCAGGCCTCACATCCCAGCTCCCAGGCCTCACCAAAGGCACCACTAAGCCTTACCAGCATACTTTCCGTTACCTTTGCTGCCCAGATTCGCTTTATTTCAGCTTATGCATGTATTAAATGGCCTTAAATGATTCTGGTGTCCTATGTTATGGCTTGAGAAGCTGTGGTGTGTCATGTGTACGTGTCCTCTGGTGGCGTGCCTCAGGTGGCCTTGATGTCCCTAACGCTTGTGTGTTGTCCGGGTGTTCCAGAGTGACCGCCGGTTTGTGCAGCGGGAGCGGAGCTTCGTGCGCCCCGAGTCACCCTTCCTTCACAGTCAGGTTAATATTGCAAACGGGTTTGTTACGGAGCATCTTGCCTATACCGGGTTGCCTAGACGACCGCGGGCGTAGCGACGTCGTAGTAGTAGTAGTATTAGTAGTAGTAGTAGTAGTAGTAGTAGTAGTAGTAGTAGTAGTAGTAGTAGTAGTAGTTGTAGTAGCACGACTCAACTTCGTCTTTCATGAATGTCTAAATATTACTTATAATGTTTTAGTCCCCCTTCTTCATGTGTTGTGGTGTTCCAAGAGTAGTGTTCCATTTTCCTCGTGTTCGCGTGCTAATTGTCTCTCCTTTTGATCCATTTTACATTATACCTTTTACTCATTTACTATTTAGCTTAACGTCCTTGACCTCTGCATTGGGGGTCAGTTACGACCTTTAGATAAGGATAGATAATGGCCCCTATTATAATGGTAGAGTATGGTCTCATTAGCATGGTGAAGTATGGCCCCATGACTGTGGTAAATTACAGCCCCTATTGTCATGGTACCCATTATCATGGTAGACTATGGCCCTGTTATTTCCACGCTAGACTATGGCCCTGTTATTTCCACGCTAGACTATGGCCCTGTTATTTCCACGCTAGACTATGGCCCTGTTATTTCCACGCTAGACTATGACCACTATTTGCATGCTAGACTGTGGCCCCCTACTCCCATGCTAGACTGTGGCCCCCCTACTCCCATGCTAGACTATGGCCCCCCCTACTCCCATGCTAGACTGTGGCCCCCCCCTACTCCCATGCTAGACTGTGGCCCCCCTACTCCCATGCTAGACTATGGCCCCCCTACTCCCATGCTAGACTATGGCCCCCCCCTACTCCCATGCTAGACTATGGCCCCCCCCTACTCCCATGCTAGACTATGGCCCCCCCCTACTCCCATGCTAGACTATGGCCCCCCTACTCCCATGCTAGACTATGGCCCCCCCCTACTCCCATGCTAGACTATGGCCCCCCTACTCCCATGCTAGACTATGGCCCCCCTACTCCCATGCTAGACTATGGCCCCCCTACTCCCATGCTAGACTATGGCCCCCCTACTCCCATGCTAGACTATGGCCCCCCTACTCCCATGCTAGACTATGGCCCCCCTACTCCCATGCTAGACTATGGCCCCCCTACTCCCATGCTAGACTATGGCCCCCCTACTCCCATGCTAGACTATGGCCCCCCTACTCCCATGCTAGACTATGGCCCCCCTACTCCCATGCTAGACTATGGCCCCCCTACTCCCATGCTAGACTATGGCCCCCCTACTCCCATGCTAGACTATGGCCCCCCTACTCCCATGCTAGACTATGGCCCCCCTACTCCCATGCTAGACTATGGCCCCCCTACTCCCATGCTAGACTATGGCCCCCCTACTCCCATGCTAGACTATGGCCCCCCTACTCCCATGCTAGACTATGGCCCCCCTACTCCCATGCTAGACTATGGCCCCCCCTACTCCCATGCTAGACTATGGCCCCCCCTACTCCCATGCTAGACTATGGCCCCCCCTACTCCCATGCTAGACTATGGCCCCCCCTACTCCCATGCTAGACTATGGCCCCCCTACTCCCATGCTAGACCATGGCCCCCCTACTCCCATGCTAGACCATGGCCCCCCTACTCCCATGCTAGACCATGGCCCCCCTACTCCCATGCTAGACCATGGCCCCCCTACTCCCATGCTAGACCATGGCCCCCCTACTCCCATGCTAGACCATGGCCCCCCTACTCCCATGCTAGACCATGGCCCCCCTACTCCCATGCTAGACCATGGCCCCCCTACTCCCATGCTAGACCATGGCCCCCCTACTCCCATGCTAGACCATGGCCCCCCTACTCCCATGCTAGACCATGGCCCCCCTACTCCCATGCTAGACCATGGCCCCCCTACTCCCATGCTAGACCATGGCCCCCCCTACTCCCATGCTAGACCATGGCCCCCCTACTCCCATGCTAGACCATGGCCCCCCTACTCCCATGCTAGACCATGGCCCCCCTACTCCCATGCTAGACCATGGCCCCCCTACTCCCATGCTAGACCATGGCCCCCCTACTCCCATGCTAGACCATGGCCCCCCTACTCCCATGCTAGACCATGGCCCCCCTACTCCCATGCTAGACCATGGCCCCTACTCCCATGCTAGACCATGGCCCCTACTCCCATGCTAGACCATGGCCCCTACTCCCATGCTAGACCATGGCCCCTACTCCCATGCTAGACCATGGCCCCTACTCCCATGCTAGACCATGGCCCCTACTCCCATGCTAGACCATGGCCCCTACTCCCATGCTAGACCATGGCCCCTACTCCCATGCTAGACCATGGCCCCTACTCCCATGCTAGACCATGGTCCCTACTCCCATGCTAGACCATGGCCCCTACTCCCATGCTAGACCATGGCCCCTACTCCCATGCTAGACCATGGCCCCTACTCCCATGCTAGACCATGGCCCCTACTCCCATGCTAGACCATGGCCCCTACTCCCATGCTAGACCATGGCCCCTACTCCCATGCTAGACCATGGCCCCTACTCCCATGCTAAACTATAGCCCCTACTCCCATGCTAAACTATAGCCCCTACTCCCATGCTAAACTATAGCCCCTACTCCCATACTAGACTATGGCCACTACTCCCATGCTAAACTATGGCTCCTACTCCCATGCTACACTATGGCCCCTACTCCCGGTGGTCCTCATCACCAGGCTAGACCATGACCCCGTAACCATCTTACCATCCGCACAAGATGTTTGTCAAACGGGTTGAGGGAGAAGGAATGTCACGGGTCCATCACATGTTGTTTAAGATTTGCTACTTGGAACAAAAAGTTGCAAGTAGCACGGGCTATGGTGAGCCCGTAGTGTCTATCTTAACTATGTCCATCAGGGTGACATTCCCAGGCATGCATCTCCCTCACTCCCCACCATGACCCGGGATGCCTGTTGCACACTCTTTGTGCAACAGGCAGTTGTATACATTAGGAAATAATAAACATGCATTGTGAAACTTAAAATGCTGCTATGCGCTTGATGTACATATGAATACAAGCTATGTAGAGAATAGTGCTGGTAGAGCAGGTAGAGCATCTATAGGTCTCCTTGTATCTGTAGAGCATCTATAGGCCTCCTTGTGTCTGTAGAGCATCTATAGGCCTCCTTGTATCTGTAGAGCATCTATAGGTCTCCTTGTATCTGTAGAGCATCTATAGGTCTCCTTGTATCTGTAGAGCATCTATAGGTCTCCTTGTGTCTGTAGAGCATCTATAGGCCTCCTTGTATCTGTAGAGCATCTATAGGTCTCCTTGTATCTGTAGAGCATCTATAGGTCTCCTTGTATCTGTAGAGCATCTATAGGTCTCCTTGTATCTGTAGAGCATCTATAGGTCTCCTTGTGTCTGTAGAGCATCTATAGGTCTCCTTGTATCTGTAGAGCATCTATAGGTCTCCTTGTATCTGTAGAGCATCTATAGGTCTCCTTGTGTCTGTAGAGCATCTATAGGCCTCCTTGTATCTGTAGAGCATCTATAGGTCTCCTTGTATCTGTAGAGCATCTATAGGTCTCCTTGTATCTGTAGAGCATCTATAGGTCTCCTTGTGTCTGTAGAGCATCTATAGGCCTCCTTGTATCTGTAGAGCATCTATAGGTCTCCTTGTATCTGTAGAGCATCTATAGGCCTCCTTGTATCTGTAGAGCATCTATAGGTCTCCTTGTGTCTGTAGAGCATCTATAGGCCTCCTTGTATCTGTAGAGCATCTATAGGTCTCCTTGTATCTGTAGAGCATCTATAGGCCTCCTTGTGTCTGTAGAGCATCTATAGGTCTCCTTGTATCTGTAGAGCATCTATAGGCCTCCTTGTGTCTGTAGAACAAGTAGATCATCTATAGGCCTCCTTGTGTCTGTAGAGCATCTATAGGTCTCCTTGTGTCTGTAGAGCATCTATAGGTCTCCTTGTGTCTGTAGAGCATCTATAGGTCTCCTTGTGTCTGTAGAGCATCTATAGGTCTCCTTGTGTCTGTAGAGCATCTATAAGTCTCCTTGTGTCTGTAGAACAAGTAGATCATCTATAGGCCTCCTTGTGTCTGTAGAGCATCTATAGGTCTCCTTGTATCTGTAGAGCATCTATAGGTCTCCTTGTGTCTGTAGAGCATCTATAGGCCTCCTTGTATCTGTAGAGCATCTATAGGTCTCCTTGTATCTGTAGAGCATCTATAGGCCTCCTTGTATCTGTAGAGCATCTATAGGTCTCCTTGTGTCTGTAGAGCATCTATAGGCCTCCTTGTATCTGTAGAGCATCTATAGGTCTCCTTGTATCTGTAGAGCATCTATAGGCCTCCTTGTGTCTGTAGAGCATCTATAGGCCTCCTTGTGTCTGTAGAGCATCTATAGGTCTCCTTGTATCTGTAGAGCATCTATAGGCCTCCTTGTGTCTGTAGAACAAGTAGATCATCTATAGGCCTCCTTGTGTCTGTAGAGCATCTATAGGTCTCCTTGTGTCTGTAGAGCATCTATAGGTCTCCTTGTGTCTGTAGAGCATCTATAGGTCTCCTTGTGTCTGTAGAGCATCTATAGGTCTCCTTGTGTCTGTAGAGCATCTATAGGTCTCCTTGTGTCTGTAGAACAAGTAGATCATCTATAGGCCTCCTTGTGTCTGTAGAGCATCTATAGGTCTCCTTGTGTCTGTAGAGCATCTATAGGTCTCCTTGTGTCTGTAGAACAAGTAGATCATCTATAGGTCTCCTTGTGTCTGTAGAGCATCTATAGGTCTCCTTGTGTCTGTAGAGCATCTATAGGTCTCCTTGTGTCTGTAGAGCATCTATAGGCCTCCTTGTGTCTGTAGAGCATCTATAGGTCTCCTTGTGTCTGTAGAGCATCTATAGGTCTCCTAGTGTCTGTAGAGCATCTATAGGTCTCCTTGTGTCTGTAGAGCATCTATAGGCCTCCTTGTGTCTGTAGAGCATCTATAGGTCTCCTTGTGTCTGTAGAGCATCTATAGGTCTCCTTGTGTCT